ACCCCTGGACCCAGCAATACCACTCTTGGGAATATACCCAAGGGATGCCCTATCATACAACAAAAGTATATGCTCTACTATGTTCATAGCAGCATTGTTTGTAATAGCCAGAACCTGGAAACAACCTAGATGCCCTTCAATTGAAGAATGGATGAAGAAAGTATGGAATATATACATATTAGAGTACTACTCAGCAGTAAAAAAAGGACTTCTTGAAGTTTGCAGGCAAATGGATGGAAATAGAAAACACTATCCTGAGTGAGGTAAGCCAGACCCAAAAAGAGGAACATGGGATGTACTCACTCATATTTGGTTTCTAGCCATAAATAACTTGTTCTTTGTATTACAATGTGTATTTATTCCTTTGGGTCTATCAGGGAAGAGAGAAAAGAACTATACAAAGGACCTCCCTCATGCTAATCAAATACCTTCCTCCACCAAAATCTTCAGTCCATGCAAACTCCACTTTGAGTAGTGTTCACAGATATGCACTAAGAAATAAATACATAGTGGGTTGAAATAAAATTGTTTACTCTTGATCTGGATTCTTTGGGAAAATTTGTCAATTACTTATATCTAACCTTATACTAGTGATGTCTTCTACTACAAATCAGGTATTAGTTATAATACTTGTTCAAAATCATTATTTTAAAATACAGTAGTCAATCCACATGTAGCTATGCTACTGATCACCTGAAGTGTAGCTAGGGGCATGAAGGATGGGTTTTTGTGTTTTATTAACTTAAATTCAAGTTTATATATTTGCATGTGGCTAGAATAGAAAAATGTATGGAGAATTAGCTTAGATAATCAGCATCATCTGTCCTAAATTGTTTATGCTATTCTGTTCTTCAGGATTTTCAGTTTCACTCTAATGCAGTCACACTGCCTTTAACTCACTAGAAATAACAACTCAACACTGTTTTGTACTTATAGGTTAGTTCTTATAGGAGGAAGAATAAATTAATTGCAGGAGACCATGTTTCAAAAGCCAGACTAACTTGTTCTCCATTTTCTGTAAACAAAACATAAATGCATTATACCTTTCCAATGTGTGTGTGTGTGTGTGTGTGTGTGTGTGTGTGTATGTGTCTGTGTTAGGAAATCTGTTGGTAAACTTACAGGACAAGCAACCAGGACAGCTAACTAAATTGTAAGGGGCTGGAGAGAAGTGTGTACAGACATCTTTTATATTCTTCATAGTATGAGTATATACACTCATATACAAATTTCTCAGATTCTTTCTCTCACTTTAATTTTCATTAGTTTATTTGGTTCTCTTTTTTATCCTTGTTTGTCTTTTTATTTGCCTCTGTTTTCTTAAGAGAGGGAGAAGGAAAGAATGGAGATGGAAGCACAGGGGATTATGGAGGATCTGGGAGGAGATGGGGGAGCAAAAACTGTCATCACAATATATTGCATAAAAATAACTTTATGATAAAAATAAAGTTTTTAAAAGAGCCCATAGGGGACATCCTGTGAGAGCCTCTTTTCATTTGGCCTAGTTTCTTCTCTGCAATATGAGAAAGCTGAATTGCATTATTTATGAAACAAACTAACCAAAGCAATGAGCTCACACCTGGAGAAATCAATAATAAAACAGGTATGTCATGTCTATTTGAATTAAAGTTAATATGAAATCTAAGGCCCCTTTCATTTTAAGACCCCTTTTATCTCTGAGTTTGTGTAATCTCCATAGAAGATCTGGTGGCTTACAGTTGTTATGTGAATACCACATACTGAAAACCCTTTAACCTTACCCAAGTAGTGCTTTACTAACACAGATTTCCTCATAAACACATATGCAAGTCCCCATTTTCTTCGGCACTTCCTACTTGGTCTTCTCTACCATTTTTTAAAGCCAGAACTAAAAAGATCTAGGAAAATTGTAATGGAAAAGTTAAAAATGCTTCAGGATCCCAGGTGGCAGCACATAGCACAAACACTGCAGGTCCCCAAGCAGTAGTAGCGGGTTATGTGGCAGCAGGCAGCGGACCCTGAGAGCAGCCAGTCCCAGGCAAAGACAGCTGCCGGTTCTGGAGCAGTGGCTGGTCCAGGACAGGGAGACACATGGCAGCGGTGGTGGGTGAGAGACAGAGACATGGATAGGCATGGCATCCAGAGTGAGGTTGAATACTTATTTAGTCATTACAGAAGGGAGGAGAGAAGAGCAGAGGGGAGGGGAGGGGAGAGAGAGAGAGAGAGAGAGAGAGAGAGAGAGAGAGGAGAGAAGGGAGAGACAGAAGCTGCCTCACCAAGAGGGAAACAGAAAAGAGAGAGAAAGACTAAGGCTGCAAGCAGGAAGGAAGATCTGCCTGCCTCAGCGGATGGGGGAGGGAGAAGGCGTGGCTACACTCGGGGATCTGCAGCTGACCCTGCCTGGGACTGACTGCTCTCAGGGCCTGCTGCCTGCCGCCACATGGCCCACTACCACTGCTTGGGGACCTGCAGCATTTCTGCTGCCTGCTGCCCCAGGGATCCTGCAGAATTTTTAATTTTTCCATTGCAAAAAATGAGAAAAGGTAGGGAGATAAGAGCAGAGAAGGGTCAATTTGCCCAATTCACCAGTTTCAGAGAGTGTGCGGAGATAGCTGTGAAACTGAATGGAGAAGAAAATGAAGGGTTTGTGAGGGGAAGAAAGGAGAGGTGGGACATAGTCAATTATAGAGAGCACGGTAGGAGTCAAGGAGCTATATAAGACCCCTGGAGCTGAATGTAATACTGTTGAACTCATCACTCAGAAACAGAGACACAACTGAAGAAGTGAACAAGTAGGGGAGCACCCTCCAATGGGGCTATCTTACAGCTCTTTTCTTTACTATCTAAATATAAATCCCCTCTACCGTAAGTCAACATGTCTGTAAATGACTCACACTAGAGGAAAAGTAAAAGTTCATATTTTGTGTCTCTTACAAACTTCCTTACAGATCTCTGGGGAGCCCAACTATACCGAAGAAGTACTAATGGAAATACCAGTTAGTAAACTTCCCCAAAATAGGATTAGAGTCTGGTCTTGAATCCAAATATTATCGTGTCTTTTAAGTGTACTTGAATGACCTTTTCTCCCAATCATCATCATTGCCACTACGTGCAAAGATTCTAGGGAAGAAAATGAAGAGTGACGATAAAGTGATTATAAAGACTATGAATACTATTAGAATCGCTATAAAATCACTTTGCTACCTAAAGAGACAAAATTGGAGTGATTTTTTTTCTTGAGGCCCATTAAAGGCCAGAATGCCATTGTTGAACCATTATCTGACAATTTACAAATCCTTCAAACTAGTTATTAATAATGAGGGTATGCTTACAAAGTGTATATGTATACTCGTTATTAATAATGAGGGTATGTTTAATATATATATATACATATATATATATATATATATTATATCCCAACACAGAATTTTCATAGGAAAATTCAATGCATTTTATTTACCCAGTTTACTTTATAGTCTTATCAATTTGTTTCCAATATCAAAATCTGGTCTCAGACTCTTATGAGCACACACTAGATTGGCATATCCATTTTCTCCTAGGACATAAGGCAACAAAAATTAATGAGCTTTTAATTTTTTTATAGAATCGCAAATGTCATGAAGACAGGGAAGCACACACAGAGATGGAGGGAGTGAGGGAGGGAGGAAGGGAGGAGGAAGGGTGAGAGAGAAAGAAAGAGAGAAGGGAAATATATCTTATCTTAAGATCGAGTTTCACATAATGCCAGTTATATTAGCGTATACTACTAGGCTTATCTTTCCCCGCCTACAGATATCCTAACCACCCTCCAGACATAAAAATCAGCCAGAACTCGGCTCAGCAGCACACACTCCTCTTTACTTCCCACCTCAGAGCAGCTGCATGACTTCCTGAGGATTCTTTTGCAGTAGCTAGAGATAAACACTCATTTATGCATATAACCTGCAAGTCTTTAGTTTCTATTCTTTCTCCCCCTCTGTTTCTTCCCTTCCCCCACTTTGCACCAGGGAAGTTAAACTCTGGCGTGGTTTAAGCAGCTTGAGGACTAATCAGAAAGAGGAAGAAGAATCGGTATATACTGGCTAGCAAACGTGCCACTTCCTGACGTCTCTCCTCTTGAAAAGAAGCTTTTCCTAAAGAGCAGGCACGCTGTGAATGGAGTGGACCATCCAGAGGATCAAGATTTGTTCTGCAGCTCACTACCCAGTGCTAGCTCTCCAGGGGACTTACAGGTAAAGCTTTCTGAAGATTTGCATCTTAGGAAGCAAACTTGAAAGAACCTTAAACTGTGACGCTTAGAATCAGCAGGTAAGGAAATTGGGTGTATGGAGTAAAGTTCAGCTGATGGCAGATTTTACCAAATACCTCAGAGTTTGGAGTAACTGCTCTGCCTTATCTGCTTTAAATTAGACTGATAATCTGAATTCTTTCTGCTTTGGTTCTTGGCCAGCGATCTGATCATCTGTCAGGCGCAGTACAGCAAACTGTCGAGGCGACACTCCCCATGCCTCCAGCGCCTTTACAACTTAGCCAGAAGTGCAAAATAGACTTTGAGCTCTTATGTAAGGCGGCAGGGGAACTTTTCTAGGCAGTGGTCACTGCCTTTAAGGTGGAAAGAGAGTGTACAGTGACTGCTGCAGGTAAGCCGAACAGTAAAGGCTGACATAGAATTTTCACAAGGAAGTTTTCCACGTTTAAACGTCTCAGCATCCTATAATTGAGGGGGAATGCTTCTCCCTCTCCCTCCTTGCCCTCATTCTCATTCTGGTCTTCATGCTCCCCTCCCTCAACCCCCTTGTTTTGACAAATGAAAAGAGACTCAAACAAGTTAAGCAATTTCCTTAATGCACACTTCACTGTTAGAAATTGGCAAGTTCGCTAAAGACTATAAAAAGAAAGGCATCTCAGCTGCAGATAAATAGAAAAAATACCTATGATCTACTTTATAACAGAATAAAACACACTTGGTTAACACAGAGCTAAGAAACCATATGACTTAATCAAATGCTTAGGGCAAGAGCATTTTTTCTTCTGAGCAGTCAGAATTACTGACTATTTTCAATGGTATCCAGATAGATTGGCAAGCACTGCCTCTTTAAATCCAGTGCATCTAATTCCCTGTCTCTACAATTGTTTTGAAATCAAAGCTGCCATGCCAAGTATATTTAGAGGGCAGCTAACTTGGATTTGTTTGTAGAGTGTTTTTAAGAATGATAGAAAACACTTTATAATATTTTTAAAGTACCATGACCAAAGTATATTTTACCTGATTTGTGTCTAAACAATTGTAACTTTTTTATTGATTTTATTGAGCTCTACATTTCTCTCTGCTCCCCTCCCTGCGTCTCCCTTCCCTTTCTACTCTCTCCCATAATCCCCACGCTTCCAATTTACTGAGGAGATCTTGTCTTTTTCTACTTCCCATGTAGATTAGATCCATGTATGTGTCTCTTGGGGTCCTCATTGTTGCTTAGGTTCTCATTGTGATTTGTAGGCTGGTTTTCTTTGCTTTATGTTTAAAAACAAACCACTTATGAGTGAGTATATACAATAATTATCTTTTGGGGTCTGGGTTACCTTACTCAATGTGATATTTTCGAGCTCCATCCATTGGTCTGCAAATTTCAAGATGTCATTATGGTTTTCTGTTGTGTAGTACTCCATTGTGTAAATGTACCACATTTTTTTTATCCCTTCTTTGGTCGAGATGCATTTAGGTTGTTTCCAGTATCTGGCTATGAGATTCCATCTTACACCTGTAAAAATGGCCAAATTCAAAAATTAATATGCCAATTGTGACTAAAAGCTACCTGTGCCTACATAGTAAATAAGCGCAATCAAATATACTATATTTACATCTATTTCTCTCTTTTAAAGATGCTGTTTCCCATTCTCTGCAAATCCTAATTATGCTAGCCATTCAGGACCTACAAAAAATAATCTAGACCATGATCCAATCAATCAAAACAGAAAAGTTCACAGATCAGGGCAAGGTTGAATCTGCCATATCAATGTCTTCTTAATTTACTGCCATCCATTTTCACTTCCCATTACCTGCTTTCTCCTACTTTTAATCAAACTTCTGATGCACTTACAAACTCTTTATCTGAGAAAAAGAAAGATTCTTCCATGGCCCATGAACTTAAATTTTCCTTTGGGGTATCAAGGACTGACAATGAGGAAATCTAATGGGAATACACTGATACTCAAGGGACATGCACAACTTTGGGACTTTGATGCCATGAATGGTAACTATAATAAATTCTCAATTAGCATAGCTCCCTATGGACTGCAACTTTTATCTTTTGAGTGGGGGCAACAGTAGGAATTGAACTCAGGCTTCTGAGTGTGCTTAGCTACCACGGAGCTACTTACTTTCGTATATTTTACTATTTCTCCTTTCCTACCTCAAATTTACTATAAGCCAATAAAGCAAGTATTGTTCAAGCTCAATACAAACAAAGTCTTACCTCCAAAATAGGTAAGACATGGCCCCTATGTTTAGGGGAAATTACAGTGCTGCTGTGACTATAAAACATAAAGAATGTGAAATAATTAAACCAGTAAATTCAGAGGTACCAGGTTATTAATTTAGTTTTTTTAGAAATTAAAATACAATTACATCATTTTCCATTTCCTCCCTCTAACCCTCAAATATATCATTCCTTACACACACACTATCTATCTATTTATCTATCTATCTATCTTTCTCTCAAATAGGTTATTTATTTTTTTAACTCCCCCAACCAGAAATAACTAGCAGTTTGTTTCATACACATTATGAACACAAATATGACCATTAAATACTCTAACATACTCAAGCACTGGAAAGGTCTGCCTCAAGGTCTCTTCCAGCTGGAATTCGTTAAGTTTTTTTGTAGCCTTCCAGTAGATACTCCAAATTGTCCTGTGGCTATCTCAATAGGAAGAAATCTAGACCAGAGAACTAGGAGTTCATCCTAGCTTTGGATTTGGAATTCAACCAGTTTTGTTCTTTCTAACAAATTACCGATTATCAGTACTTTTTGGTTTCTTTGCATATCAAACGCCATAGGGGTGTTTTTCCGAATACATTACAATAACGTAAGTGAAAGCAACTTTACAATTCAAGTCATCATCCAAAGGGTTTTGCTTAAAGTGCATTCAGTTCAGAAACATATCACACAACCGAATGCACATGGGAGAGCACAGAGCTCGTTGCTTCCCACTCTCTATTCACCTGTAGGGCAAAGGCGTGCTGCTATGATCTAGCCCCAGGTTTGCCATTAGAAGTGCATGCCAGTTGCTGTATGCTTTAAAGTGAATTCTGAGAATAAAATAGCATTTAAGAAGTATTTACTTGATCATACTACTTTTTATTAGCCTACCTTCATTAAACCTGCTGATTCTTAAAATCAAAATCTAAGTATCAAAATAACATTTTCCATTACATTTTAGAATGTAATACAAGTACTCCGCTACTGTGTCCTAAAGCCATTTGTATAGCAGATAGTCATAATGCAAACTGTTTTCATACAAATAAATACACACATTATATATTTATGTATATAATATACACAAAGTATGTATCATATATTGAATAGCAAAATAGAAACACCTTACAACTACTTTTACCCATAACTCAATGTCATCTGGGTTTTTGGCCATGTGAACATATATATTCAAGGACTGCTGAGAAAAACTTTCCTGTCATGAGCAACACCTAACAAATATACTATTCACCTCTATAGAAGAGATTGATTCACAAAGTGGAGGGGCAATTTGTTGGTATTTACTGAGGAAATACAACTTCTATAAAATCTGGCAGATTCATTGCAAGTAGTGGCGTATCCTCATGCCCAGAAAAAAAAAACAATAGAGGAAGCCATTTAATCCAGTTAGATAAATATGGACATCATAAGTACATTAATCCACATTACAATTGTGATCCTAAAAATCCTCAATTTACAATTACCTCTGCTTTTCAGAATTCTTCATAGATTAGTAGAGGGCTCTTGTTTAAACATAGCTTGCACTGCAACTTAATCTTGTACTCTGCTTATTCGTGCTGTTCTACCTCGTGTTATTACATCATGGTTGGTTTCCCTTTTGATGAACAAAATATTATTTTTTTTTATTCTAATGCTTGTGGAATGAATACATTCCAAACATTTGAAGTTCCACTTTAACCAAATTGGCAAAAAAAACAAAAAGGAGTTGAGATACAGACTTAAGGAGTCTTGGAGCCAATCAGGAATTTTTGTTTGTTCAAAGTTTTTGGTTTGTTTGCTTGGTTGGCTTTTGCTTTTTTATTTGTCATCAATTCCATATCTATAAACATGAGTGAAGAAGGAAGGGGAGCAGAGAAAAATTTATATCTCAATAAAAACAATAAAAACTGAGTGAAGAAGATAACTTGGCATCACAATTTTCAGTTTTAAAGCCCAAGATTGAATAAGTATTCTCATCTGTCAGCTCTGTAGCCTTTGCTTTTGCATAGGATTATACTTGTGCTGTCGTGAACTGAAACAGGCTAAATGAAGCTGAACTAACAATAACAATGCAAAAATAGCTCTGGCATATCCTATGTACTTGTTCCAAAGTTCTTAGGTAGTCTCTGAGTGTCATGCTTCTTTTCATTCCAAGATGATTAACCTTAATGCTTGATCTTAACTTGGATTTTTATTTAACATAAACTATTTTCTTGATAACAGTTTGCTTCCAAGAGTCAGAGGTCCAAATACTAAGAGGCTAAGAGCATGACTGAGAACTAGCTGTGAGCAACAGTGTTTCAAGGGATTCCAAACCGCGGTTAATTGGCGCAGAGTTATTTAAGTCTGGAAGACCCTGGTCCATCTAGCTTGTCCTTACAAAATGTTCAAAAAGATGTAGATTTTCTGTAACATATTTCTATCATTCAATTAAGGGGTAGACATACCTACCACCACATACCAACATTTATGCACTCATCAAGATCTCGGTAGCCTTTCCATTCCTTGCATTTCCCTTCTGGTTAGGTCTTGCCTACAACTGACCTGTGTGAGGTATCTTCAACTCTGAATGCCACCAACTAAGGTTCTTTGAAGCTTCATAGTGTCCTGTGTTTACATTTCAACTATCCGACAGTAGAGCTGCCTGTCTTAAAATAAGCTTTTGTTAAAGCAACATCTGAGAGCTGTCACCAGTGCAGTCTCGGCACACCTGGAGCTTTCAATAGCAGTGGAAATGCTGTTAATCATATTCTTGGAAATACCAAGAGGGAAAAAAACTTATTTATTGGAATGATAGGCTAAGTACATTATTCTGTCTCTGACCCAAGATCTTTTATT